ATTGTTGTGGGGGCAGGGGTCGGTTTCCCACTGTTCAAGGTGGCCTTTCGCGCGCGAGCGCTCGTCGGCCGCAGCACGCCCTGGAAGCAGTGCGATCCGCCGCCCGCGGCGCGCGCGCGAGCGCCCGCCGTCACCGGCGGTGCAGGTCGCCTGTTCGCCGCGTCTCCCGTGGGGGGAGGGGGAGGTCGAGGAGGTCCAGGATGGGCTCCCTCATTTGTACCTCCCTTATGCATCGTGATCAAGGTCTGCGTCGACGAGATCCCGCGACATTCATCGTGTTTCTTCCCTCGACAGGAGGGAGCGGTCGAGGAGGTTGGGAGGGAGGAGGAGGAGGAGGAGCGCGAAGACGATGAAAGCTACCAGCTTCCAGACTGATGGAGGAGGTACTCAGGACTCCACGGTGCCAGAGAACAGGGAAGAGGAACACGAAGATAACAACGCCGACGGTGGTGACATCAAGGCGAATTAGCCTGCACTCCAGCTCGCCGTTTCGCTACACGTGCTGAAACACCCCACTGCTGAACGCAGAGGCCACGGGGAAAGGGGAAAGGAGGACGCAAGGGCGGACATGTCGACGAGGGGGCGCATGTGCACCCTCCCACTGAGGCTGAGTAGGTGGAGCTCCCCGTGGGGGCACGATCCTCGTGGTGGGTGTGCCGACATTGGCGGAAGGACAACGCGTGGACCCTCCCAGGGGGACCGTGGGCGGAGCTCCCTGTGGGGCACGATCCGCATGCGGGGTGTGCCCATACTGGGCGGGGGCATGGCCCATAGACCCTCCCACTGGGCACGTAGGAGAAGCTCCCCATGGGGGGCACGATCCGCGCGAGGGGTGTGCCGAGATGGGCGGGGGGCGCCACGTGTGAATCCTGCCACTGGGGCCGACTGAGGTCGTAGATGGGGGGAGGAGCTGGGCCTCCTCTGCTTCCTCCTTCTGCTCCTCCTCCTACTCCGCCTCCTCATCTTATTCTTCTTCATCATCTTATTCTTCTTCCTCCTCCTCCTCCTCCTCCTCCTCGATTCTCGGGGGGAACGAAAAGGGGAGGATAGCAAAGAGTAGTGTAGAGAATGTGCTCACGTAGCTGACTTTCCTAGCGCCTCCCGGCGCTGGGAGGCGCACATGTATCGAGGAACGGGCCCGGCGGCGGGGCCGACACCAGCTGCATACAGCAGATGTTGTAACCCCCCTTTCGTTCGGCCCGGCATTCAGTTCCTTATAAATACCTTCTCCCTGTCGCACCCCGATGCCAGTTTTAGGGCGGGCTGGGCGTTTCGCCTGAGACTTCACCATTTTTGACTCTGAAGCTTAGAATTTGGCAACAGTTTCACAGATGGATGGCGGGTGGTTTTCAAAATGTGGCTCTCGCCTTAGCGCCACGCACATTCGTTTTAAACATTTGCACGAGTTTCACGGATTGAGGGCGGGTGGCTTTCAAATTGTGGCTCTCGCCTTAGCGCGGCGCACATTCGATTCCTTTTAACTGCAACGGTTTCACAGATGGAGGGCGGGTGGTTTTCAAAATGTGGTTCTCGTCTCAGCATGGCGTACATTCGTTTAAGAAACCTGCGAGAGCTTCACGGATTGTTGGCGGTTCGTTTTCAACATGTGGCTCTCGACTTAGCGCCGCGCAGATTCGTTTTTAAAACTTGCAAGAGCTTCGCGGATTGAGGGCAGTTCATTTTCAAAATTTGGCTCTCGACTTAGCACCGCACACATTTGTTTTGAAACCTTGCAAGAGTTTCACGGATTCCCATCATCCACGTACCAGGAATGGTGTTTTCGAAAGATTCCAGATTATGCGGGTGCAACAAATATGTTGATTCTCTGTGTTGAAGTCCTAAGAATGGCATTCTGACACAATTCAGGATCGTCAAGACGCAACAGTCAGGTTGATCCGTGGCGCTGGAATCCCGAGAACCATGTTTTGACATGTTTCACTGTCTTCAAACGGGTCCCTTCCAAAGAGACAGTGCCATCAATGGAAATGAAGCGTTGTAGGGGCCTATGAAGAGGGAGCTTGGAGGGTGGGTTTGCTCCAATATCGTGGGTGACTCTTGGGTTTCAACCGATCCTCCTCCTCCCCCTCCTCCTCCTCCTCCTCCTCCTCCTCCAGGGCATCCTCTCTCTCCCTCCTGGGAGAGAAGGCGAGATGCTGACGCTCCGCGCGGTGCTCCTCCTGAGGCGAAGCCAGGACAGGGCGAGAGCGGACGTCGGAGATCTCCGAGATGCGGCGGTGCTGGAGGATGCATCGGGCGCGGCGGCCTTCACGGAGCGTTGTGAACGTGCTCTTGTTCGGCGGATCGGCAATGGGCGGAAGGGGTGGGTCTGACTCCAGACCTCTGCTTGGCGCGAAACGTTTGCACCAGGGCGTCCTACGGGTGAAACGCCACCTGCTCGGAACAGGCGCCAAAAACAGCTGAGGTCTACTCCCAAGAGGGGGGAGGGGGTGCGAGGGCCCGTGCCAGTCGGCAGAAGACTGAACCAAAGCACGATCGCGCTCTAGAACGCTATGAGAGAACGTTCCGGAACGCTCCGTGGACCCCCAGAGATCTGGACCCCCTGCCTGGAAACGGGCGTTTCCTCCCGGCGTTGTGCCGAAAAGGCCCCGAGGCCCGGCGAGGGCCCGACCCGAGGCCGAGAGCGGCAGAGACAGCCTCCCGTGGTTGCGGGCAATACCTATATCCATACCCAGGGCGTCTTGGACGTTCGTGGCAGGGGCGCCGCCAGGCCGAGGCGCACTGGACATGGCTAAAATTTTCTTTCCTCCAGCAGGGGCCTGATGTGTATCCATGTCCAGTGCTCCTCGGCTTCCTGGGGAAGGGAGTCCGAGACCCCAAGCTGCAGTGGATGTGGACACAAGTGTTGCCTCCCGTGGTGGGACGCCGCCCGCGGCGCGAGGAGGTCTGGCACGCAGACTTCTCGGGCGCGAGCCGGCACGGGACTAGGGATCCGTGGCTCAGCGCCCCTCGAACGGGAACTCCACTAACGTTAAGTCGGGCGTGTCCCCCTACAGGGGGATTTCGGCGAAAAATCAAAAAAAATACTCCAAAAATGCTCAAAAGATGCCAACAACTACCCCAAAAATCGTCCCCAGACTATTTCTTGACTATCCTTGAATATTCCTCCTGTAAAGGGTCAAGCCCGACTTAAGACTAGAGATCCGTGGCTCTGACGCCCCTCAAACAGGGACTCCACTAACGGGCACTTGGCCAGTGACCCAGCGAACCCAACCCCTCCCGATGTGGGCCACGCTGCACTGCCAGAAAGAGGCCTGAAGTGGCAGCTTTCGGCACTGTTCCAAAGTACCCGTCAGTGAGTACCCGTTGCGGTGCCGCTGAGTGACTCTGGCGTCGAGGGCACCGGATCCACGGATCAGGATTTAAACAGCAAGCCTTCGCCACAACGGATCGCGCCGATCTGAACGGAAACGCGACCCGTCGCTCATTCGCGCGCCTCGATCCATGCTTGCGTCTCCTCGAGCGTATCCGAACCCTGACCCCACCAGCCATCGATCCTCCAGCATCGATGGGAGGCGGGGGTAGGGTTAGGCGGGCGTCCCCCTACAGGATGATTTTGGACGAAACATAAGAAATGCCCCAAAACTGCTCCCAAAATGCTCCACAATGATCAAAAAGCTCGTCCCCAGACCATTGTGCGACTGTTTTTGAATCTTCCCCCTGCAGAGGGACAGGCCCGACACTTCAGGGTAATCAGGGTTCGGATCTCGCCACGCGCTCTGGGGGGCCCAAAAATGTACACCACCACCACCTCCCTCCCCACCTGCCCTCTCGCTGGAAAGAGGAGAGAGGAGGAATCGACGTGGTGATGGTGGTGCATATTCTTGGGGCCCCCCCGCGCGACGAACTCCGAACCCTACCCCCCGCCGCCCATCGAGTTAGCTGCAGCGCGGATCCGCGAGGGCAAGGCCCCGGGTCTCGCCGCCCGGGGCCTAACCCCTGCCCTGGCTGGTGGGCCTCGTTTCCACCGCCACCACCAGAAGTTGGAGGGGGCAAGGGGGGGAGGGGGAGGAGGAGGAGGAGGAGGAGGAGGAGGAGGAGGAGGAGGAGAAGGAGGAGGAGGAGGAGGAGGAGGAGGAGGAGGAGAAGGGCGAGGAGGAGGAGGAGGAAGAGGAGGAGGAAGGAGGGAGGAAGGAGAAGGAGGAGGAGGACTCCCTCCCCCTCCAACGTATGGTGGTGGTGGTGGTGGGAAACAGGCCATCACTGGCCCCGCCCCATCCCCAGGGCAGCCCACAGTCGAATCGACAAGCCGGATCGGCGATCGAAAGGAATCGGATCGGCTGAAATCGGCAGCCGAGTCGGGAAAAGCCGACGCGGCAGACATCGGCAGGCTAGTAGGCCTCCGCTGGAAAATCGGAATTTCCATATCGGAGTCGGAATCCATCGAGGTCGAATCGACTCGAATCGTGAGAATCGCCCTATCCCCTAAGCCCTGCCCTGGCCCCACCCTATCCTCATTGCACTGGCCTTACAGACGTGCTGCAGCGGATTTCTGCGTGGATTTCTGCGTGGATGTTTGCCCGAAGCGGCAAGCGAAAAACGAAGTAAATCTCGCGTGGATCCTTTTTGGTCTCCACTCCTGGCCAACAAACAAACACCGCGCGAAACTCACCTCGAGATCCGGAACGAAATTCTCCCCGACACCCGGGCCCACCCTATCGTTTTCCAAACGAAATCCGCTCTGCGATGTTGGCGCCATGACCTCCCCCCCCCTCCCGCCCTATCCTTAGGTCGGGCATGTCCCCCTACAGGCGGACTTTGGACGAAAAGCCAACCATAGTCAAAAAAAAACAAAATAACCAAAAATGCTCAAACAGTCGTCCCCCGACTATTTCTTGACTGTTTCTGGGTCTCCCTCATGACTTGTCCCCATCCCCCCCCTTGTCCCCCCTGTCCCCCCCTTATGGCTTGACCCCATCCCCTATGGCAGGCCCGACTTGACCCTATCCCCCCCCCCCGCCCCTCCCCCGCGCAGCGGGCGCCTGGCGGGACGCGGCGGCCCGCGAAGCCCTGCGCGCGGCGCGCGCGCGCAGGCGGCGCGGCGGGGAGCGCGCTCGCCGCGGCCGCACGCGGGCGGTCCCGGGCGAGGCGTGGCCCCCGCGAATCGCCGCGCGCGGTGCGGCAGCCCGTGGGGCAGCGAGATGATGGAGGCATCTAGAGGAGGAGGAGGAGGAGGGAGGAGGAGGAGGAGGAGGAGGAGGAGGAGGAGGAGGAGGGGAGGAGGAGGGGGGAGGGGGAGGAGGAGGGGGGGGGGAGGGGGGGAAGGGGAGGGGGAGGAGGGGGGGGGAGGAGGAGGAGGAGGCATCCTTAGCGGCATGCTTAGAGGCATCCTAGTGAGGCAGTGGGGCAGCAGTGGAGTCGGAGGGTCGCGCCAGATCGCCTATGCATCACCGATGTATCGGTGATGCATCGGCGACGCATCGGCGATGCACCAGCGATGCATCGTCGACACTGGCGGTGCATCGACGACGTCGACGTGAAGCAAATCGGGCTCCACATCGAGCCGCATCGGCGATGCATCGGCGATGCGGCACGGTCCTCCGACCCCATCTAGTCCGACCCCATCTAGGAGGCCTAGAGATATACCCGTAGACGCGCTAACGGTGTGTTAGCTAACCGCGAAGTAAGACATCCAATTGCAGAAGCGCGGTTCGTGGCCAAACCACTTGTAGGAACGCGTGGTTCGTGTGATCCTACCACTCTCTGTGTCGTTTTCGTCCGGTGCATTTGCATATTTGAAATGTAGAAAAAGGCCTTTCGCAATGTCCTACATGTTATTCTTCATGAACTCGGTGTCACAAAAAAACCAAATTCCTTACCGCACCGTTAACCAAGCACGGCGTTAGCGCGGCCTTGCTATACAGTCATGCCGTGCTATACGGACGCACAGTAAGGACGCAAGGGCCTTGGAAGGCCAAGGAAAACACCTCGCGGGTGGAGCGCGGCCAGCGAGAGCAGCCACGAGCGGGCCGGGAAGGCAGGGATGCAAGGGTACCCTCGGGAAGGTTGGCCACCCCTACCGTGCAGGTGGACTGTAGATACACGTCCGCTGCCCCAGGCCTGGTCCATGAATCCTGCGCCCAGGAATGGTGCGCATGCATCCCTGCCCGAGCCCCGAGGGCGTATACGACCGCCCCTGGGGACCAGGGCGAGCCAGGCCCGGGCAGTGGATCTCCAGGCCCCGCCGCCCGAAGCAGCGGACTGCGCGCCTGGCTGGACCTGCCCCCCAGCGCCCCGCAGCAGCCGTGCACCAAAGGCCACTCCGGCGGGAGTCACTCCTACATTGGAGATAGGTCGGGCCTGTCGCCCCACAGGGGGATTCTGGGCGAAAAATTCGAAATACTCAAAAAATCATCCTGGCGACAGACCCAACCATATGCAGTTGAGGGGACCGCAATTGTGAATTTTCTTCGGTGGAGCTCCCTATGGGGCCACGAAGCGCTGCACTGGGTAGGGGGGAACGCATGCGGGCGGTAGAACTGGGGCCGTCGGGCGAACTCCCTATGGGGCCACGAAGCGCCGTACTAAGCAGGGTGGAAATGCCAAATTTGGTGTGTGGGACGCATGCTCGCGGTCCCACTGGTGGCTTCGGTGGAGCTCCCTATGGGGCCACGAAACGTATGAGGGGTGTGCCAAATTTGGTTTTCGGGACGCATGCGGACGGTCCCATTGAGGGCTTCGGTGGAGCTCCCTATGGGGCCACGAAGCGCTGCACTGGGTGGGGGGGAACGCATGGGGGCGGTAAAACTGGGGCCGTCGGGCGAACCCCCTATGTGGCCACGAAACGCCGTACTGGGTGGGGAGAAAATGCAAAACCTGGTGTGTGGGACGCATGCGGGCGGTCCCAGTGGTGGCTTCGGTGGAGCTCCCTATGTGGCCACGAAACGTATGAGGGGTGTGCCAAATTTGGTTTCCGGGACGCATGCGGACGGTCCCACTGGGGGCTTCGGCTGAGCTGGCTATGGGGCCACGAAGCGTTGTACTGGGTGGGTAAAAATGCCAAATTGGGTTTCCGCGACGCATGCGGACGGTCCCACTGGGGGCTTCGGTGGAGCTCTCTACGGGGTCACGAAACGCAGTAGTGGGTTGTGTGTAAATACCAAAATTGTATTTCAGGGACGCATGCGGACAGTCCCACTGGGGGCTTCGGTGGGGCTCTCTATGGGGCCACGAAACGCCGTACTGGGTGGAGTGCAAATGCCCAATTAAATTTCCGGGACGCATGCGGACAGTCCCAGGAGCTTCGGTGGGGCTCTCTCTGGGGCCACGAAGCGCTGCACAGGGGGGGGGCGCATGCAGACGGTAGCACTGGGACCTTCGGCGGGGCTCCCTATGGGGCCACGAAACGCTGTACTGGGTGTGGGGGACGCATGCGAACGGTAGCACTGGGACCTTCGGCGGGGCTCCCTCCTGTACTGGTCGCGGGGGACGCATGCGGACGGTAGCACTGGGACCTTCGGTGGGGCTCCCCATGGGGCCACGAAACGCTGTACTGGGTGGGGGGGACGCATGCGGACGGTAGCACTGGGACCTTCGGTGGGGCGCCCTATGGGGCCACGAAACGCTGTACTGGGTGGGGGGAGACGCATGCGGACGGTAGCACTGGGACCTTCGGTGGGGCTCCCCATGGGGCCACGAAACGCTGTACTGGGTGGGGGGGACGCATGCGGACGGTAGCCCTGGGACCTTCGGTGGGGCTCCATATGGGGCCACGAAGCGCTGTACTGGGTGGGGGGACGCATGCAGACGGTAGCCCTGGGACCTTCGGTGGGGCTCCCTATTGAGCCACGAAATTCGCTGTACTGGGTATGCTGAAACGGGTGATGATGATGATGATGATGATGATGATGATGATGATGATGATGATGATGATGATGATGATGATGATGATGATGGTGATGGAGGAGGGGGAAAGGGGGAGGAGGAGAGGAGAGAAGGAGGAGGAGGAGGAGAACGCGTGAAGACGTCTCTTCAAAACGAGGACCCAACACCACAAGATGGTTGGGAAATGCTCCAAAATACTCCAAAGTAGTTTAAACAGCGTCCCCTGATGCTATTCTTTACTATGTTTGAACATCCCTCCTGTGGAGGAAGAGGCCCGACTTAACGCTGGAGGCCAGTCCACAAGAAGCCTCCCACCAGAGACCCAACCCTGAGACCCCAGGAGGCCCATGTATTTTTGGTGTGGGAGCGTCGCGCTCTCCACAGCAGAGCCACCGGAACCCAAGAACCCCCCAGGGCACCCTGGAGGCAAGCAGGGTGCTTCTTGGCACGGGTCTCGCTTACAGTAAGCGCAGCCGATCGTCGCGGGTGCAGCGAAACGATGCTGGCGTTTCTCAAGCGACCGCAAACATGGATCGAATGGGTGTGGACTAGCGAAGGGTCCCGTGACCATGGGAAATCGCGGATTCCCGCCGCCAGCACCGGCCGCATTCTGGGGAGGGCACCTCCCCCGATGAATGCACTAGGCGACCGCGCGCCAAGCCCATGGATCGCTAATCCATGCTTGCGCGCCCCCCGAGCTTGGGCCGTGCCATGAACGAAATGGGTCCTGAGGTCTCTGCCGCGGCTTCCAGGCTCCAGAAAGCTCCCCGCCGACACCCGGGGCCGGCCGGGATCGGGGCAGGCCCCGGCGGCCAAGACGCGCGGAAGTCCGCGGGGCCCGCCGCATCGCGCATCCGGGCACGGCAAGCGGCGGCCGGGCCGCGCAGGCCCGGAGCCTGCGCCGGAAGGCGCCCGCGCAGCGCACGGGGCCTCGCCAGCTGGGCCACCGCCGCCGCAGCCCCCACGCCTGCAGCCGCTGCCGCGCCTCCTCCCCCCCGGGCCTGTGCAGCGGGGAGACGGCCGATGATGAGGGCCCTGACGAGGATGGCGGCAGTGTCGGCCGCACCGGGAGGCGCGCGAGGGAAGGGGGAGGCGGCGGCCGCGGCGGAGGAGGGGGAAGGAGTGGAGTGCACCCTCAGAACATCTACTCGGCTGTTCGGGTGTGGTGCTGCCGCCACAGGCCCCCGAGGGAGTCGCGGGAAGCAGGCGGCGGAGACCACTGCATCCGCACACTGGAACTGTCCTGGGCTGGCGTCTGGGCAGGCACGCTGAGGCACTGGTCGTGCGAAGCGGCGGTGTCGGCGCGGAGCGCCGGGTCAGCAGCAGAGTCTTGCCAAGAAATCCCACCAGCCCTCTGGGCGCGAGTGGTCGAAAGAACTCGTTCTGCTAACCCCCATCTTCTCCTTCGGGGAGGGGGTCCCTCCTCCCACTGGGGCTAGAGTGGGCGTTCTGCACGGGGTTGGTGCGTCCAAGATGACTCTAAAGAGAGCCCCAGAGGAGATGTACAGAAAATCAACGTCTTCTGCTTTCTCACTAGATCGCTTCCGATGAGCTCTTGCTGCCTCTAGATGTCTCCAAACTGGCCCAGGAGGGCCCAAGAGGGGCCAAAATACTGCCCCCAAGCGCCCAAGAACGTTCCAAGAATGCCCCAGGAGGGCCCCAAGAGGCTAGCTTGAGGGCTCCGATGGGGGGGTGGGCATACTTAGAATCCCCCCTATTTGACAGGTAGCTTCCGAGATGGCCCCAAGAGGGCCCCAACGTCAGCCAAGAGAGGCCCAAAATCTCTCAGGGGGTCTCAAGAGAGGCCCAGGAGACACCCGAGAGCGTTCCAGAACGCGAGACGAAAGCTTCCAAGAGGGCCCCATTGTGGCCCTCAAACGGCAGCATGCTGCTGCACATCCCTGATTATGGCAACTCGCCTGTTGGCTGTTTTGCGATGGGCTGGTGGGGATGCGCGAAGCGCCAAGACTCCTACAAGGCGGAGAGCACGAACTCCGAGCGTGGCTCGCCGACGTGCGCTGCCAGAGGGCACTGCCAGAGGGCACGACATCAACATGCATGATATAAGAAAGCACGTGCGCTATAAGAATGCACGGGCATCAACATGAATTGCCAAGCACTAAAGGGGGTCCGGCGCCGACCCAAGAGAAGCTGGTTAGAATGCCTTAGCACCCTCACTCCTCGCC